AAATGTCCTGATCCACCCCAAAACATCCTCATCCCACTCCAAAACCTCCTGATCCCACCCCAAAAATGTCCTGATCCCACCCCAAAACATCCTCATCCCACCCCTAAACATCCCCATCCCAGCCCGTACCAGGTCTTGGGCTCGCCCCTGGGCGTGGGGATCCCAAAAATGTCCTGATCCACCCCAAAACATCCTCATCCCACTCCAAAACATCCTCATCCCAACCCAAAAATCTCCTGATCCACCCCAAAACCTCCTCATCCCACTCCAAAACCTCCTGATCCCACCCTAAAAACCTCCTGATCCCACCCCAAAAATCTCCTGATCCCACCCCAAAACATCCTCATCCCACACCTAAACCCTCCTGATTCCACCCCTTAAATGTCCTGATCCGCCCCAAAACCTCCTCATCCCACCACAAAACATCCTCATCCCACCCCTTAAATGTCCCGATTCCACCTTAAAACCTCCTCATCCCACCCCGTACCATGTCTTGGGCTCGCCCCTGGGTGTGGGCACCCCAAAAATGTCCTGATCCACCCCAAAACATCCTCATCCCACTCCAAAACATCCTCATCCCACCCCAAAAATCTCCTGATCCCACCCCAAAAATCTGATCCCGCCCCTAAACATCCTCATCCCACCCCGTACCAGGTCTTGGGCTCGCCCCTGGGTGTGGGGATCCCAAAAATGTCCTGATCCACCCCAAAACCTCCTCATCCCACCCCAAAACATCCTGATCCCACCCCAAAACATCCTCATCCCACCACAAAACATCCTCATCCCACCCCAAAAATCTCCTGATCCCACCCCAAAACATCCTCATCCCACCCCAAAAACCTCCTGATCCCACCCCAAAAACCAAAACCTCCTGATCCCACCCCGTACCCTGTCTTGGCTCGCCCCTGGGGACAGGACACCCCAAAAATGTCCTGATCCACCCCAAAACCTCCTCATCCCACCCCAAAACCTCCTCATCCCACCCCGTACCACATCTTGGGACAGGACACCCCAAAAATGTTCCTCCTGGGCACACGAACACCCCAAATTCACCCCTCTGTCCCCTCAAACACCCCAAAGTCACTCCTGTGCCCCCCAAACACCCCAAAGTCACTCCTGTGCCCCCCAAACACCCCAAAGTCACTCCTGTGCCACCCAAACACCCCAAAGTCTCTCCCCAGGTCCTTCAGACATGCCCCAAACGTCCCAAATTTGCTTCCTGGCCCCCCAGACACCCCAAATTCACTCTTCCAGCCCCACAGACACCCCCCAGACACCCCAAAGTCACTCCTGTGCCCATTCAGACACCCCAAAGTCACTCCTGTGCCCCCCCAAACACCCCAAATTTGCTTCCTGGTCTCCCCAAACACCCCAAATTTGCTTCCTGTGCCCCCCAAACACCCCAAATTTGCTTCCTGGACCCCCAGACACCCCAAAGTCACTCCTGTGCCCCCCCAAACACCCCAAATTTGCTTCCTGGACCCCCAGACACCCCAAAGTCACTCCTGTGCCCCCCCAAACACCCCAAAT